GTAAAGCATATTAAGAGTCTTAGCAGAGACTTGGGATGATGCTGAGGGGCATCTTCCAACCGCAGAACTTGTGTTCCTTCCCATACTCTTGTGTTTTTTTGGTTTTTTTTTAAATCTCTGTTCCCCAAAGCCTAGGAATGGTAATTAAATTGTAGCTGCAGGAATAATGACAGATATGGGCCCCTTGCCTACACCTTTTCATCACCGCACCCATCTCCCATCTGGTTTTTGTTTGCCCTAAAGCTTAAGTGGTTTCAAGATCCTCCTCTTGCACGCATGTTCTCACCACGTGCCCGTTTTAAATCTCTCCAGGTATTTTAACGAATTAATTAATTGCCAGTTGCTGACCTCAACACAAGTACACCATGTAAGTCCTGACTTGCATCAGGCGCTTCCCTTAGCACGGCAGCCCTTCTGCGGGCTCCTCCAAATCCAAACCTTTGTGCTGCCCCTAACCTTCCAGTCTAATCCACTCGATGTAACCCTGATGTTGGCTTTCCCGGCCAAAGCAGGAAAGGCAAGGGGTGGCATTAAGGACACAAAAGGCACTATTTTGGGAAGCACCCAACCGCATAAATCCCTGGAATATTTTAGGGTTTTTTCTATTGTAGTAGGTATCAACACGACTTCAAACTACCATGGGCCAAGGCCAGTAAGAGCAGGTGGGATTTGTATTAGCACCCCTGATACTAGTAGGTTGTCCCCCTCGTCTTGTAAAGGGGATGCTAGTGCTTCCCGTAGCGTTACTGGGCAATAACCAGGACCACGAGCCTTTGAAACGTGGTCAGTGCTGGAATCCACGTAGTACCATGTGAGAACAAAATGCTGTTATGATAATTGCTCATTATCTAATTATACAAGAACTTCAAGGCCCGGAGGGTGAACAACTAATTAAATGGTTATCCGCTTTTAAAGTGGCAACAAAGAAATAAAGAATATTCATTCTTTTGGCTCTTGCTCCAGTACTGTCAGCAAAGTCACGTGTTCCTCAAAAGGTGAATGAGGCGGTGCAGGACAGACAGCTCTCCCTCTCCTCGTGCTCTGAATGCTGTCGGGGGGTATTGAGGCAGGAAACTTGCTTTTAGGAGAGTAGACTGCTTACTTAAAAGGAACTCGGCTTTGAGTTTGAGCTGCAGCTCAAAATTCAGGAGAATTCACTGCCAGGGTGCCCAGGAAGGTAGGTGATGCTGGCCTTCAGGGCAGTACGGGGTCACCTTTTACGTTCAAGGATTTGCTTGTGCACAAGTTTAAAGATAATGTATCTGAAGCACTTGGTCCCTTGGTGTGGATGCGATGTGCTGGGGACAGGCCTTGGGTTTACCCCATGTTGGGGCGTGCTGTTACCACCTAGGAAAAGAGCTGGCTGTCAAAAAAAATGAAAGGCAGCATCATTGTACAATTAAAGACCCTGCAGCCCTTGCACCAGCAGTAGTAGGCCTCTAAAACGCTCAGCCTTAGCGATGAAGCCACCAACAATTAGCACCCTAGGCTCTATTTTTAACTTTCCAAAAAGTACCAGACAGCCTTCCTCCAGGGCCCTCATTCCTGCCTCAGCCCTTGTACGCTGTTGTCCCACCTGCAAAAAGACCAAGAACCTTCACTGCTTAAACCAGGGCCCCCAGATGCAAGGGGCATGCCAGCCGTGTCGGAGCAGAGCCAACACCCCTGACATGCTGTTCTTCGCTGCCGGGGGATGGAGGCAGGCAGTACGCGTGGATCAGCAGGTACCGGCAGGACAGCACGCGTCTTGAGTCGCAGCAGTGCTTCAGCAGGCAAACGGTGTGGAGTTTCTGTAGGGCTTGGGAACAAGCGTTCCTCTGCCTGCGGAACCCGGTACCGTAGGCATTCTCAAAACCCAGCCTGTAGGCTACGAAACACAACTGCAGGGTTGTGATGCTCCCGGGTAGCTCACACCTGGGTCTCGGCGGTGGTTTAGAGCTGTGGCTTTTGGAGAGGGCTGATCAGAAAAGCCCCCCTCAAACATAACACCAAACATGGAAAGCAGAATTTGTGCCCTTTCCAGACCCAGAGACTAACGATTTTAATCAGGAAGGCGTAACGATGT